TTTTTTACCTTCTACCGAAATGCCTCATCCTCGGATTTCAAGCGCGCCTTTCGCTGGCATGTAGGAGGGTTGGTAGCAAAAGTGTATTAAAATAAAGCCTTCACCGTCATCGTTGGGTTTTCTTTTCTGAGTGCACTTTTGCATCGGTCGTGGAAGCGATAACTGCCCATACGTCGCCGTTTTTATGATGCTAGTGTTTATTTCATCCGGATGACCTCCTCATTGGCGAAACTTGTTCTCTTAGATAACAGGCGAAAGATAGTCAAGTTTCTATATTTTTACCGTTTCTTTGGTTTTTTTTTCACAGGTGCGCTGCTTTGCTTTTTTACGTCTACGTTTTAGCGGGATGCGCTTATCACTAAAGCGGCCTTCACAAAAAGCGAATTCTGTTTTTGTTACTCAAGTCTGGAAGCAATCGCTACTGTACTCTTCTGGTTGTAAAAACTGGAATTTCAACCATCTTACTCAAAAGGGCTGTAAATTCCAGTTCTGCTTTCTGCTCGCGGCCTAGTTACGAGCTTTTTTGAAAACGCTCGTGGTCAACAGTGCAAAGGTTCTATAAAGGCAGAAATGAACTCCATCACCCAACAATTATTTTATATTTCTTTCATCTGTCTATTTTTCGTAGAATATTGTCGACATCTTCATTCATTTGCGATTCATTCAGAGTATGAAATGGCTTGAAGTAGGTGCCTACCTATTCACAGAACTAAATCCAAATCAATTGGTGGGCTAGATATGACAGTAGCGAGCGCTTCACAGGAGTAGTTCATGCTTCTGGCATTTATTTGAAAAAGTCAATTTTGTTTTTGTTTTTCATTGTTAAGTGCGTGCTGTTTCTGGCCGCAGAGCACCATGCCGAAGTTATCACATAATGCTGAGTGCTTGGAGCAACGCGTTATGGGCAGGACGCTTTGCTCCAGCCAGGATTAGAACCCCATCTTTCGCAGGGGCTACCAATTACACTACTGAGTTGCCCTTCCCCTAATTCGGCTTGATGTAATCCGCTTCTTTCGCGGCCGCTGAAGTAGGGCTAGGTCCTACAGGAGTGCCAACTTCTCTAGAGCGTACTTTTTCGTCAAACTTGGTTTCTTCAAAGGGCCTTGTAAACGTCTTTTGCATACATAACATAACTACATGCAGCTATCTGTCATCTTTGTGAAATTGCACGTCTTCCACTTTTTCTAAATTGAAAAAAATCAGTTCCTCGAAGATGCTTCCATACCTGCTGCCCCTAGTAACAGTAGATATGCAATTCATTCTTATTGTGTGAAGGATTGCTTAAACATTTTCAGTTTCCTGGCGGACCGGGAATGGGAATGCCTGGACCAGAGGCTATGATGCCAGGTTGGTAGACGACTTTTAGTTAATTGTGATTGGATTCTTTGCACTTCATTGCAATTGTGATTTTTTTTATTCAGGGCATCCAGGTGGTCCAGGATTTCCTAGTCGATTCCCAGGAAGAGCCGGTTGTCCACCGGGCGCTATGCCTCCAGGCGGATTTGGAATGTTCCCCGGTGATCCGAGAGCAATGCCTGGCCAACGGATGCCACCGAATGCGGCAATGCGTATGCCGCCCGCTTCATTCGCTCCTGCTGGAATGCGACCAGGTGCGCCAGGAGGACCACCTCCTCCACAAGGTATCTTTTTCGGCATGTTTCCTAAGTTTCATGCTGAAATTTTGCGCATGATTGATTAAGGAATGAGATATGGTGCGCCACCTGGTGGAGCGTTCATGGATTCTCCAGGACAGGCATTTCCACCCGGTGCTGGCATGATGCCAAACGGTGGTGGTGTGATGTGTTCGCAAGCGCCGGTCGGTATGTCTATGTCCTCTCCTGGAATGCCGCCTGCTGGCGCAGCTGATCCTCATGGATTTATGATGAGCGGTATGCCGTCAAGCTCCACTGCCATGCCTGTAAGTCCTTTGCATTGTGTTGCTTACACTATATAGGGCATAAGCATAGAATGTGACGGGTAAACTGTTGTCCTTGATCCTACTTTTCTGCATTTTAAACGGCTGAGAATTACTTTTTTCTTCTCCCGTCTTCGCCACATTTGTCACATTTTTAACGGATCCATAATGATGAATGAATTTGATCGTTGTTGCAGTTTGGTATGGGAGATACATCAGTGACCATGGGTAATGGTATGGGACCAGGAGGAATGGGCGGGCCGGGTACTGGCGGTCCTGATGGCGGGCCGCTGACAGGTTTGCTGAACGGTGAAGAGCTGAAGCAGTCACCTGCCTCGACTCCTCGAGGTGGTGTGAACGGTGGAACACCGGCTCCGCCAGGATCAGCTCACAGTATGCAGCCCGCGTCCGTACCTGGAGGAGCTGAACTAATGGATCAACAGAGCACTAAAGTAAGTCTTTCTTATCTCAGAACATTTTTGCATTATTGACCTGATAATAACTATTGAGGGTAGGTGATGATTAAAATGTTTACATTATAGATTCACGACTTATATTTATTGACGGTTACAATCTGATGAGGAAGAAAAATCTTTGTCACTGTTACTGCATTGCCCTCGCACTGAAACTTTGTTCTGCGCGAAATTTGCATGGCTTGAGGCTTTAAGTTGACGTCGATTTCGACATAGTAATTGAAGATACATAGCATTTCTCTTCCATCTAATGAAAAAAAAACACATTCTCTCTCCTGGCATCGTAACCAGTACAGAGTGAACTTACGCACATTCAATTCCTTTTTGTATCTGGGTGGTGCATCATAATCTAAATGTTGAACAACAATTGGAGGCTCCAAAAAATTTATTTCAAAAAGCTTCAAAAGGAACTTAATCTCTAAAGCTTTCCAAAATAATTGCGATATTTCCAATACCTATGAGGCTTCGGGACAGCACCATACTGAGATACATCATAATCTAGTTCAAAACTTATGGAGTCAGTGTTAATATTCCCGGTAGGAACCACTTAGATGTTTAAATATTCGTAGATGGTTGACGTCCGGGTTCGAGGACCGACTAGATTGTAGTTATGTATCCAAGCAACGTGAGTGCCGATGCACTATGCTTGCACGTGCTTTGGAGCCGAGGTCTTATTGGGAAGTTAGCGTTCTAATCGAGGGCTCCACGGGAAGGTCGGAGACCGGAAAAGAGAAAAACACCTGAAGGAAATGCAAGCGGCCTCCAAGGGTGCGGATAATGAACCGTTCCGAAGCAGTTTGCCCCTAGCTGCATAGCACGGCCGTATGGCCTACACTCGCGAAGCAGCACGCCCACCAACAATTGAGTATTAAAAGAAGTGTATGGGTTGCTGCTACTATTATCGCAATCGTTTACTATTAATTTGTAAGGACATTTCATTTCAGGCGACCATATCTTTCAGTTTTTCTGGGTGATCTGTAATCAATCAGAGGGATTGTTACTAGGCATAGCGCCGGATATTGGGTTCAACACGTGCAAACAAGCTCGCCTTGTTCGCCTCCTCGACCACAGCGGAAATCAACAGACAAAAAGGGCCATTTTTTTCGGGTTCCACTTTTTTCGGGGTTTTCACCACTGCACTGTATTCCCGCTTGCTATCATTTCTAACGACGGCTTTTCTCGCAAATTCCACCTTAGAACCAAAATTTCGCTTTCTGTTTTTGTTATGTCGGTAGTCGTACAGAAGAGGAAGCTTTATTCAGGACACATAAACAGAACCATACTGAAGTCACAGGCTTATATAGAGGAGATGTTTTCGAGAGAACTCGAAAACAAGTGATACAAAAAGGATCATTTATTGTTCATCCATAACACTTTTTATATTTTAATTCTTCAACACCTTGATTATTTGTGATTATTTTTGCCACTTGTTCTGGAAAGCATCAGACAACTCTGTGATTTCTTGGGTCCAAAATTCTTTGACCTGAATGCATAGCATATGGACGTATTTTTCAGGATGACATCGAAGTAAGCAAAATCAAGCAAGGCTTATTAGATGATTTTGCGCCAAAGGAAGAAATATCATCTGGTGATCAGCCATATTTCTAAGTCCGTGCATTCCTATCTTTTTGGTCACACCCATGCACAATACATTGTTTGTGAGTTATATTATCTCGCGGTATTCTACCAATGTACAATCGCGTATTACTTTTTTTTTGCGAACTTTTTTGTCTTCCTTATTCATGAGTTTTTGTTCTCTGACAACTTCCGATATATTTTTCATTGTGATACTCTCAAATTGTGCACCACGCAAGCACATTTTTGATTCCTTGTGAAAATCATAACACTAGGGTCTTACTGTATAGCAAATCACTGTAGATTTAGAGTAATCTCATCTTCACTACCATTCTGTTTATTGTGCACTGAAAATACCTTTATAGCTTTCCTCATATCACTTTTTTTCGAGAGGAGCCTTGACGGTTCTTCCTAAATCTGTTGCGCTCTCTGACTAAAAAAGTGTTGAGGCTAATCAGTGCGACGCAACGCGTTTCATCTTTTGCGCTTTACACTTAGATCAGTTAGGTGCCCATTGGCGACTATGACCTTTCAAAAGTAAGTGGTGGTTCAGTTCTCACAAAAGCTTCGGATTCCTCTTTGGCTTCTGTGTTAAGCTTGGTTTTCTCCGACTACATGAAGCTCATACTGTTTGAGACGTTCGTAATTCTTCTCCTAAAAAGAACACAAGTGTTTTTCGTATATAAGGTCTTGTTTCTGGTGTAAGTTGCGGGCTAACTAACAATTTAGTTAAAATTTCCCTATAGCAATTGAAGCGCGTTGCAGCGCTCTTACTATAGTTTTCTCCATTGTTCCGCTTTTAGCGTATTGCCAACGATTTCCTTCAATTTTTTGTGAGACATAATACAGAATTTTGGTTTATTTTCATAAGGCAACGTATGTTTTACCACATTGGAAATACATTACTTGCTCTTCTGAGCAGCACCACCCATCTTAATATGGATATTGAAATCAAAGTTATGACAGGCTCTGCAAGCATAGCTACTTGGCTTAAAAATATTTTTCACTTACTATTTCAATGTATGCAATTTGCATAAATTAAAAAGCCTCCGCCGGGCTTGGGAAATAGAATTATTCCAACATCTCCGCATGAACACACTGGATAGTTTCTCGATCAACTTATTGTTTCTGCTTATGATATTCTACTCTTGAGATTGTGATCTTATTACCTGTGATATTAATTAAATACATCAAAAAAATGCTATTCCCTCTCCACAAAAATATTATCTTTATTCATTATCCGATCAATCCCAAGCCACCCCAGATGACTCTTATATTTCAACTGCGTTGCACGGGCCTTTCAATCAAAGTCGAATCAAACGTGCGATCCGTGATATGGTATTTTCGGTGAGCTTTAATTTCTATCGATCTGTCGCTTAATCATAATAGTCATTCTATGCACATCTATATCTTCTTGCGTCCATTTTCAAAACGTACTCTCGATGTAGCTTCTTATAGAATAGGGATAGCGAGTCACGCTATTTTGATTTTTTCCAGCAGTTTGCTGCGAAATTTTAGAGAGATTTACCTAAATGTACCGCTGTCTAATAAATATAATCATCTTTATAGAATTTGCAGCAGTGTAATCATCTATACTGATTGCACAGAAGCTCGCCCTATTCAACTAGTCCGGCTAATATCTATCTTAATCTCACTTTTTGTCTACTCTCTTGTACTTGTCGTGACATATCATGACCTAGTCAGAAACTGATACGTAAAAGTCGTTCGATTTGACAGAGCTGTTGGCTCAGAAACATTTGTTTGATCTTTTATAGAGGCGGTACACTATATCAATAGTTCAGGATCAAAACTAAACTTTGCCCGGAAGCTTTTTAGAGGCTAATGTGAAGGAATATTCAGTATAGACTGACTAGATGCACAGAAAATAAGGACGTATTATTCAAATAGAGTGGATTAAACGTTAGTATATATCTTTGACTGATTTCAAACAAATATACACTACACGTCAAACATCGCATTATTCGTACATTGAACCCTTTAATATCGTACCGTTCGTAATTTTTTGCAATTGTTCCACGTTTAAGTAGAGAGAGAGAATAAACTCTTGTACGTACCTTTGGTCGTTTCTTCGAATGTGTCCATAGATGGCTAGTTAGCCGTTCGCGACAAAGCTTCCCTTTGTTTCTCTCATACTAAAAAACTCGTCAGCATTATTAAAAACAGTCAGCTACCTCGTCTGATTTCTAGAGTGGAGTTACAATCTCTCAAAATTTTATTTACCTTATTGGTCGTCAATTGAGATAATACATGAGCGTGAAATTACAAATACGAGTTAGACAAAATAAACCAGGTAAAGTGTGCTCGATCTAACACTTGCAGAAAAAACAACGTGTATATGCTAGAGAAAATGAGAATACATTAATAATGGTTTATAAACCGCAAACGATATTGTGTTATGTATATAGCCACCGACACTCATCCGCAATTGCTGCCGAGGATTAAAGAGGTATGATTGAGCAGTTATTTGTTCTATCTACGCTGAAATATTGTTTTTATAGCACTGCCTCAATTTCGCAGATCAAAAGTTTTTTCGCCCTGAAGACGTCGCCTTTGACTTGCAAAGGAAATATCAGTGAGCTTTTCATCATGGTTTATTTCGTAGAGGAAAAGTGGTAGGTTAAAGTTTGCAGTGAGGTGAATACCTTATTTCATGGATCGCATGTCTGAATCATAATCTTTGCAAATGCATCATGTTTATAGCACGAAATACGTACGAGCCACTGAGGCGACCCGGCTTCAGGCCGGGAACTAATCGTTAAGCGGTATTATACATTTTCATGTTAGGATATGGCATCAAAGTTGATTTTCAAATGTCAAATATCAGTTTGCTACTGGAATGGTTAACTACTTCGACTTAAAATGCTCTCAATCCAACGTTCGCACAAGCTTTATAACGTTTTAGTTTGTCGTGATATCCGGTAGCGCCAGCATTTGTCACCTCGAATGGGTTGCTTTTGAAAACCATCCACTTATAGAGAGCGCCAAGGGAGTGATCCGAAAATTACCGGAAGGCTGAGCAGCAGCAAAAACCCGCCAAACTTGCTGGATGATTTTTTTCACTATCATCAGTATCAGGCATCAGGAAAGGAGATACAAATTGTAGAGTGATCAAATCGGTAAATTCTATCGCGCTTCATAATGCCTCTCACTTTGCTTACGGCAGCCAGAAAGTGAGCAGTAAAAAAGTATGTGTTATTCTCTGAATCTGCTGGAGTTGGATTGAAGTTTCCACTAATTCGTATTATTCCAGGTCTACATAGTTAAAATTAGTATAGAAACTGCATGCTGCAATAAAAAAAAATTTTTGCGCCTCATAAATTGCTGAGTCAAGGCCCATCCTTCATTATAAAAAACGAATGAAAATTACATTTTTTCCTGGTACCAATGCATTTCTCGCAGTAGAAGTGTCTTTCTGTAGATATTTGCGGCGGGAGCGCTTCCATTTGTTTCTCAAAGTGCCGTTACTATTGAATCGTTTTATCCTCACCTGCGGACAAGCTTTTCCATAATATGTAGTTTTTCTATCTTCTTTTATTCTTCCCATCTGTCCCGCGCAGTATCAGGGTACACTCATTGCATCATAGTCCATCATGTCTGAGTTTACGATGGAAGGCAGCCCACTGGATATCAAGGTAATGATGGTCAGTGATGCAGGAATACAGAAACAACCAAGGCAAACAACTCAGAACCCGAGATATTAGAGCCTTTTGCCCGTTGATTTGTGCGTTAGGCGTGTCTCATCGGTACTGACCTCATCAAAGGTAACGCTCTTGCTGCTAAGCGGCTAAACCCGGGTGGCAAGGGAGTGGGCGGACAGCGGCGATGGCGATGCGGGAATAGCCATACTGGATCGCTGTGGACATGTCCTTCGCTACGAATTGCGTGTCGCTCGGCACCCTTACTATCAAGGGCCGCCTGCATTTCCACCAGGTAGGTTTCCCCTTCTTCAACCTCCGACCTTATCGTAGAATTTTCCTATAATAATTCTCGCTCACAAAATTGGTTTGTTTTGTGCCTGCAGTCTTCACTTCAGACCCATGAATGTTAAATGAAATCCGTTTAGTCGGAAGAAATCGCTCTACAAAGAGACTGGATGGGACGCTTTCCATTGATCACATTCCTTTTGCTGAGCTCCGAAAGTGTAGTGAAAGCAAATAAGACTTAAAAACGTTAGAATTGTGCAACAGTCACTTCTTAATATCAACATCATTATTACCATTCCACTTCAGCGAATATGGACGAAAGAAGTATAAGCCATTCGTTGCACTCGTAAGGGAAGGACTGAAGCGTCTCAAAATCAAGGACAGACCTGAGACTGAGGAACCAACATGTGCCGACAACAACGAGGATGTCACTGTTATCCTCGAGAAAAAATTCGAAAGCCCTGTAACTCGTCCAGCAGAAATGTCGAGTAGCAGTAGGAAAAGGAAGATAATGAGGTTCGCATCTGATATAAACTCTTACAGTGCCTGATATGATTTGTTGTTTATGTTTTGATCTTTTTTTCAGTTCAACTTCTGTAGTATCGAAAGTTGAAGACATCTGCGTTTCTAGTGATGAGCAATGTGACAAGCAGTTTGAAGATTACAAGGTAAATATACTGTTTTTTCTCTGTCGTATTCGATAACACATGTTAATCTATGTCCTTTTTTGTAGGGGACAAACGGTGCTAATAAATCGATATTGAACTTGTACAGCAGTAGCAAGAAAAATGATGTTTCATCTACTCCGAATACTCGTACAGTCACTTCGAAAAAGAAGCGAACTGGTGTATCGAATCACGCAGTGAGTGATACCGTTGTTTATTTTCTATCAGTTTCAGTTCTTTTTTCTCTTTATTCATTTTCGACGTTTTTTATGTTCAGGCTTCATCTTTATCATCTGCTCCGAGCGCTCCTCGGAGGGCTTGGTAACGTGCCAGCATTTTCAATCCAGCCAAGACCATCAACTGTCACATTTGAGCATTTGGGTGGATGTGATAGGCAGTTCTTGGTTAGATTCTCACATGGTTGTACACAAATAGATCACCCGAATTTCCTATCTCCAAGCTCTTCGGCAAATTTTTAGCCTTCCAGGAAGTCTGCCGTCTCGCCATGCATATGAAGCGTCCACACACTTACAGTATGCTTGGAGTTGAACCACCGAAAGGGTTTCTTGTTCATGGACCACCGGGTTGCGGAAAGACCTTGTTTGCACAGGTAAGTTTTCAACTGTTATAGTTTGTTAACATCAGTAGCTAATATCAGTTATGAATCTGTTCATCAATATGATTAGTTTTGAAAAGGTTTTAATGAATGCCGATGTAAGGTAACTTGGTAATTTTCCAAGGCGGTGGCAGGGCAGTTCGATCTACCGATGATACAACTTGCTGCCACAGAACTGGTCTCGGGTGTGTCTGGTGATACTGAGGAAAAGATTCGTCAGTTGTTCGTCATTGCTAAGCAAAGTGCACCGTGTGTTCTGGTGAGTTGGCAGACATTCAATTGGTATCTGATTCATTTGTTTACTGGATCATGGCAAAGAAACTTCGTACCGATTTTTAGTTTTTTTTTTCATGGTTACATCTTCTTTGAAAGCGAGTAAATTTTGGAATGACTCCAGAGAGGGTGTTTTTTTAAATTTGTTGTTCAGATACTTGACGATATCGATGCGATCGCTCCGAGACGTGAAACGGCTACTCGAGAAATGGAGCGGAGGGTGGTCAGCCAGTTAAGCAATTCATTAGACGGTATCTACTGATTTCCCTCTTTTGGTTTTCTGAAAGAGATTCAATTCACGCTTTATTAGTTTAGAACTGCATGGGCCAACGAAGGCGAAGTCAATCAGCGAGAGAATTTCTATAGCACATGATGGTGAAGTGGTCTTGAATGACGATGAAAGTAAAGGTACATTCATTGATCTCCTACAATGTTTTCAACGCTGGTGCAGAAACGTTAAAAACCGGTCATAACCGCGCCATATGACCTTTTATATATGAAGTTTAAGCTCCAGCTCTTGCTTCTATTTCTCACTTTAACTTCAAAACTGAGGTATTTGATCTATAGCTGAGGTCTTGCAGGGCACGAACATGTTTTGGTGATCGGAACAACAAGTCGCCCTGATGCCATGGACGGTGGATTGCGCAGGGCTGGTCGATTTGATTGTGAAATTTCGCTTGGCATTCCAGATGAACAGGCGCGTCAGAAAATCCTTCAAACCATTTGCAAGTAATTCTTTCAACATTAACTTTTATCTTAAACATGTCGTTTGATGAAATTGTTACAGTGGATCTCTAGCGGTTGTAGGTTTCGCTTATTCATGTGCACATTAGCTTTTCTGTTTAGTAACTATCCCTTTAAGACTTCAATTCAATCCCTTTAAGACTTCCACTCGATGAGGACGTTAACATGAAAATGGTAGCGAGACTAACTCCCGGCTATGTTGGGGCGGATTTAAGCGCTCTGGTAAGGGAAGCGGCAAAGTGCGCGATCAACAGGTAAGATACCTTCTCACAGTGCTAATGAAATCATGGATGTATTATTCGTTGATGTATAGTTTTTATTTAGGATATTCGATACTATTGTGAATCATAACTCTTCAAAGCGCCAAATGACTAATGAACAGATCAAGGAAGAATTAGATAAAGGTAATTTTCCGCTGTTGTTGGTCTGTAATCCTAATGATCGCAGTAGTGCAGGCTCCACGGAGTGTGCCACAGTGTAACAAAGTACTCAAGGCACAACTGATTGTAAAGTTCGTTCGATTCGAGCTGTGCTAAACATGGTTGTTTTTGTGGTCCTCACTAGTTGCCGCTGATCTATGTGAAAGTCGATGTCTGATGATGTTCAAGGTATAATGATAATACG